CTCAGCTAATAAGTTTCTGAGGCCAAATTGGAACTTAGATTTACCTGACTCCAGGCCCAGTGCCCTATTATTCATGGCACCTAGCTACTTGTACATAGGAACAGATGCATATGCACAATATTGTATACACGTGGTGTACACAATTGTTTTGCGTCATTTCATTTCAATCTTTAAAATAACTTACTGTAGCAACTAAATCCTCTATACTTTTCAGTCAATTCTGTCACTGGGAAGATATGATCTGCTGTAGAATATAATTTTCAAAATCTTGACTGTTCTCTTTCTCATATTTTCAGCAAGGATGTCCTCAATATATGTTGGATCATTGTAATAAGAATTTTATCACTAGGAGCAAGTAATCATATGGGTCAATAGATGCTGACGTCTCCTCTCTCACCTTTTTTTGGTTAACAGTACTGCTGTTAGTGTTTTCCCCATCATTTGCTATATTCCCTTCTTTGAGATAAATTGAAAGTAAGGTTTTCCCCCCAACTATTCAAAATTATGTTACCTCAAACTTGGATTTCTCTTGAGTTCATTTGTTCTAGTTCAGTAACTCTTCTCAATCCCATCTTTGTCCATTTCCTCATGTAGCACATCAGGTGCAGAGATATTAGAATGAGGTTGTCTGTCATCATTGTATGGTAGTAACTGATAAGAAAAAAATTATCATAGAAATGCTACAAAATCTGTTGCCTTTTCTAGAAGTTTGTGACCAAGCTTTGGACAGATTCATTTTGTCCTTCATTGCTTTTGGAGGGTAATTTAGAGGCTAATCGGTTAAGAAAGTTTGACATTAATGTAGCTAATGCCACACTTATTTTGACCAGAAATAGCCAATGCATTTACATGCTTCATTAAAGAAAAAAAAATCCCCAATTGATAAATGGTCAAAAGATATGAACAGGCAGTTTTCAGATGAAGAAATTAAAACTCTCTCGAGTCATATGAAAAAGTGCTTTAAATCACTATTGATTAAAGAAATGCAAATCAAAACAACTCTGAGGTACCACATCACATCTATCAGGTTGGCTAACATTACAGAACAGGAAAATGCCAAATATTGGAGAACATGTGGGAAGATTGGAACATTAATGCATTGTTGGTGGAGTTGTGAACTGATCCAGCCATTTCGGAGAGCAATTTGGAACTATGCCCAAAGGACTGTAAAACTGTGCATATCCTTTGGCCCAACAATAGCATTTCTAGGGCTGTATCCCAAAGAGATCATAAAAATGGGAAAAGAACCCACATATGCACAAATATTTATAGCATCTCTTTCTGTGGTGACAAAGAATTGGAAATTGAGGGAATGTCCATTAATTGGGGAATGGCTAAACAAGTTGTGGTATATGATAAATGTAATGGAATACTATTGTGCTATAAGAAATGATGAGCAGTCAGACTTCAGAAAAACCTGGAAAGACTTGTATGGACTGATGCTGAGTGAAGTGAGCAGAACCAGGAGAACGTTGTACACAGTAACAGCCACGTTGTACAATGACTAACTTGGATAGGCTTAGCTCTTGTCAGCAATGCAAGAATCTAAGACATCTCCAAAAGTCTCATGATGGAAAATGCTATCCATCTCCAGAAAAAGAACTATGGAGTCTGAATGCATTTCAAAGCATACTACTTGGTTTTTTTTTCTCCTGTTTTGGTTTATTTCTTCTTTCTTGTGGTTCCTCCTAGTGGTCCTAATTCTTCTTTACAGCATGACTAATGTGAAAATATGTTTAAGAGGAATGTGTAGAGCTTATATCAGATTGCATGCTGTCTTGGGGAGGGAAATGGTGAGGGAGAGAGAAAATTTAAAGCTCAAAAGCTTATGGAAGGTATTGTTGAAAACTAAAAATAAATTAATTAACTTTTAAAAAAGGAAAAAATGGTTAGACTGACATTAAGACCATGTATCATAAGGAGGATGTTTGTCCTTCCATTTTGTAATCAATTCCCAAAGCAGAGAAGACCTCTATGATATTCAAAGCATTGTGCTGGGCCATTTTTTTCTTGATTTCACAAAAGGGAAGAGAGTAGAGCTTGCATACTATAAGTTATTGTGCTGTGATTCCTGGAAAATGTTTGAGAATACATTATTTAAAACTGAAGTTCTTAACCTGGAGTCTGTGAACTTTTTCTTTTGATAATTATATTTTAATCCAATTGTTTCCTTTGTAATTTTATGTATTTTATTTCATATCTTTAAAAGTATTATTCTGAGTAAGGATCGATAAGCTTCACCACAGTGCCAAAAGGGTCTGCAATACAAAAAAAAAAATGGTTAAGAACCCACAATTTAAAAGGTGATTTGTGTACATCTAGAAAAGGAAGTAGTGATCATAAAAGCTAGCATGATTTTATCAAGAACAAATCATGGCAGACTACACTCATGTCCTTATTAGGCAAGGTTACTAGGGCTGGTGGGTATTGTTTACCTGGATTTAAGCCAAGCACTTGATGATTCTCTCGAGCTATTTTTGTGGATAAGAAAGAGAAATGCATACTAATTGAGAGGTGTCAAACTTGATGCCCTTGCAGCCTGAACTTGATGAAATGTATTATCTAATATTTGGTAATAAGTAGTTCCTCCCCTAAGACCAAGTAAAAAGAGAATTCTCAGATCCTTTTACCTCTGGAGGTTGACCAGGAAATTGGAGAGCGTCTCACTCTTCTTTAATCCACTCTGTCCTCTTAACCCTCACTGTTCCAGTTGTGTGTGATGATACTCAAGCTTAGCAGTATTGAAGGTAAAATACTTAAGGGGATAATGATCATTATGGCCCAGGTTGTGGTATACGGTTGTGGCTGTTAGAGTAGAACTATTTGTGGACTCTCAGTTTCAGCACTGCTATCACCATATTATAGGCAACTTTATGGTGAAGCCTGTTTTAACTGAATTTGCCTTTGATAATAACAGACAAAAAATAGGTGCTAGAAAGGCCATTATTTGAAGAAGCCCATTGGATCTTCTATTCTTCCTATTGTAGCACTGAGAGAGGTTCTATACTAGTCCGTTTGACTGGGACCACATCTGCTAGGTTCAGCTCTTGGTGGCTTTGGTCATAATTTGGTCATAATGGGTATTAGCAGAGATTGTGTTAGCACTACTAAGGTTGCAGTAGAGAGGATTATGCTAGTTTAAAAAGATTCTATTTCATTGAAAAATGACATACAGAAATATAATATGTAGCGTTTTTAGAAAATCTGACAAATACTTAAAATTTATATTTGGGGTAGTATTCAATTTTTAAAAAATAGATAATAATTCTGAATGAGTTGCCATTCGACTTTATTTTGTTCTGATTGGCCTTCTATAAATAATCACAAAATCCTAGAAGCATTCCAGCTTATTTTTCTAAAAAACAAAAAACAAAAAAAAAACCTGAGAACCACAGATGTTTAGGAAGAGTGCATTTTTTTCAAAATTAAGAATCAATTAAGCATGTAATTTAAATTAATTTCTGTTGACTGAGAAGACAAATAGGTGATGCTTAAGCTGCATTAGTTTTATGACAGTTAGGTGCCTTCAGCATAAGATGACAAATCTTCTCATTCTTTTACCATTTGGCTATATACCAAATGCCCTACAAGCTAATTAGAGTGTCCTTTGTTCAGAGTACCCATGATGGTGTATGTACATACAGTATGATATTACTGACCACCATTTTGTTTGGTTGTGGTGGCTGTAGGAGATCCCCTACAGTACTCTGGTGGTACAGATTGTACCACCTACAGATTGTACCTCCTACAGATTGTAGGAGGACCCATTCTAATCCTAAAGCCACTTTGAGGTGATAGTATAAGACAAGTATAGTGTAAGACTGCTAAATCTGGAATCAGTGGAACTGTATTAAACCATGACTGCTATTTACTGTCTTTATGATCTTATTATGGCACTTAACAAACTTTTGGTGCCTTGGTTTTTTATCTTTAAAATGAGGGTGATGGATTCTATGACCACTGAGGTTTCTTTCAGTTCTGAATATAAACGTTCCAAAAGTCTTAGTGAAGTTTTAAGCTATTAAAGCTTAAAACTTCACTACAGCTAGGTCCAGTTTGGTGCAAATAATGAACTTGAAATGGGCAGGTTATTTGAATATGTATTGAATATTTCCATTGTGCTTAAACCAATTATCATATTTTATATAACTATAACTTCAAATAGTGCAAATTCAAACACATGAGACCATTTGAGGAGATTCATTATATACACTAACAGGGACCTACCTCTAAGACTTTTGGGACACCCTATATATGATTCTGTGATGGGGCAGAGGGGAAACTGCTCTTAGACAAGATCATTTTGGAAGGTGAGGACCCATTCCTTCTGGGAGTTTTGCTTCACTGTGTTAGGGAATCTCAGTTGAGCCTCTACCCCTTCTCAAGATAATAATAATGATGGTATCTGATACTTTAAGGTTTATAATTACTTTATAGGTAATGTCCTCTGATCCTTATGGCAGCCCTGTGAGGTAGGTCATTTAATCTCCATTTTCAGGACGAGGAAACTAAAACTTAGGTTAAATAATAGTCTTGTCATATTCATACAGTAACCCCTCAAATGGATCTAAGAACTTACCAGTCCTAAGGGATTGGCCCCCTCTTATAGAGGACTTTTAGGGGCTACTTTAGCTACTTTGAATGCCCTTGAGTTCCAATTCAATTTCTTACATTGTCCTTTGGGGTCTAGAAGAGAGTAGATCTACTTCCATGACCTTGCCTACACCTTTGATATCATCTGAGAATAATTTTAGCAGTTGTGGTATACATACTGGATTTGAGGGAATGGTGTAAGTGGAATTAATGCCCCAATAAAAAAATGATTGACCATTTGGGTGCCTTCTGGCTCTTCTTTCTCACTATTCCTCATCTCTCAGTTCCCTAAATGGCATGATCAGTTTATTTTAATGTTTAAAGTACACAAGAAGACCTTAACATGTCAAAATGCCTCTGTGATAATGATATTTAATTTTCTTTTCTCCCTTCTCCTCATTCTCAAGGCTTACTCTGTCTATGATGAAGATATTGGATATTGCCAAGGACAGTCTTTTCTTGCTGCCGTGTTGCTGCTCCATGTGAGTAAATTATCTTGTAAAAGAAATGGAACTACTATCAAAAACTTTAATTTTCAATTGACTTCATTTTTTCTTTCTCATTGATTGCCTTTTCCTAATAAAGATTACATATAGAATTTTTATAATGGGATATATCCTTATTCTAATCCATATTGTTCACACTGGAACTATTTATTAAGGAAGTGAATTATTGATCTGGAATTATCTCTGTACATTTATTTGTGATATTTTTATAATGTAGTATATAGTCAATTTTTGTAAAGGTACCATTTTTAGTTGAAAAAATATGTATACTACTTTCTTTTCCCATTCAGTTGTCTCCAGCTATCTATCATATCTAATTTTTAAAAAATTTTTTAGTAAGGCAGTTGGGGTGAAGTGACTTGCCCAAAGTCACACAGCTAGGAAGTATTATGCGTCTGAGGCTGAATTTTAATTTGGGTCCTCCTGATTCCAGGGCTGGTGCTCTGTCCACTGCGCCACCTAAATGCCCCCATCATATCTAATTTTTCTAAATTTTCAGGTCCTTAGGATCATTCTTGTTTTGCCTTTTTGTAAGCTTCTTCTAGATCTGGGGACAGACGTCACGTTGAGATCCCCAACTATTATGTTTTGGTTTCTATTTCTCACTATAATATGTTTAGCATTTCCTTTAAGTACACACATTTTATACTGTTTGGGGTGTATGTGTGTAGCTTATAGTTATTATTTCATTAGAATCCGTTTGTATAGATAGATGTACATGTTATTTCATTATTTATGGTACCTGTGAACACAGTGTACTTTTCCTGCTTATCTCATCTAACCATGTCTGTTTTTTCTGTCACCTTGCCTGAAGTTATGATTTCTACCTCTGCTCTTTTGAATTCACCTTAAGCATTAAATTCTTCTCCAGATCCTCATTTTAATTCTGTGTAAGTCATTATATTTCAAGTGTATTTCTTGTAAACAACATATTGTTGGAATCTGCTTTAGAATCCATTCTGCTTTCCTCTTCCATTTTATGAGTGAATTAATCCCATTTGTACTTATTGATATAATTTTAATTATAAGTTTTCCTTCAATATATCCTTTTATACCTTTTTTTCTTTTATACCTGTTTTCTCATTGCCCCAATATTCCATCTTTACAAGTAATGTTCTTTGTAAAGAAAGTGATAAAAAAAGGACTGTGAACAGCAGTAGTAATCTTTAGGTGGCACAGTGGATAGAGTACAGGTTCTGCTCCCATTCCTCTGGTCTTCCTCTTTTCACCTAGCCCAGACCCCAGTCCCTGCTTCTTATACTTTATTTTTATCCATTTAATTCTTCCTTTATTATCCCTCTCTGAAGTTGAAGTTTGTTTTGCTTATGACTACTTCCCCTCTGACTCTACCCTCTTAAAACTTGCTATCCTCTCTATACATACCTGTTTCTCTGCTGAAACATTTATGGCATTTGAGGTATTGGTATTTCTGATTTTTTTTCCCCCAGTGTATCCTTTCTTCTTGTGAAATCAGAAGACAGAGGAGTACCACTTGCTCTACCACGTTCTGTGTCAAGCTAATTAACATAATTAATAAACTTCAGTGGCTTTTTGTTGCCCTAGGTGCAAATACAAAACTCTTTGTTTGGCATTCAAAGCCCTTCATAACCTAGTCACCTCCTACCTTTCCAGTCTTCTTACACCTTACTACCCAATACATACTCTCCTATTCAGTGACTCTGGCCTCCCTGTTATTCCACAAATAAAATGCTCCATTTCTTAGCTTTAGGCATTCTCCTTAGCTTTCCCCATGCCTACTTTTTGTCTCCTTTTGTGTCCTCAGCTCTTATCACAGTACTTGGCATATAGTCAGTGCTTAATAAATGTTTATTGATTAAACATAACAATTGCTGATATGGACAGTCTGCAACCCTATTCTGCACTTGTCTATTTCTTAGATTTATAGGAGCAGGGACATTAAAATGTCTATGGTGCTAATTCAATCAGTAGAATTGTTGGAGTCCCGTCAGTCAGTGTTTCAGGATCCCAACGAGGCCTTAATAGCTGCTGTAGCAGTCTTAGGGCACATAAAGCCCCTGACCATAATTCCATTCTTTTGCTATTTACTCTCTCTCATGACATGTTCAATGAATATATTGGGATTTACGAGGTTATAATTATTTTTAAATAGTAACATAAACCTTTTGTATTCTCAGCTTATGCTTATCCCAACTTTGGTCTTTTCCATCCTTAAAGAGAAGGAAAGAGGGAAGAGAACAAGCTTTTATTAAATGCCTATGTGCCAGGCGTTATGCCAAGCCCTTTATAAATGTTATCTCTTTTGATACTTGATTAGATTTCATACTTCTAAGACAGATGCCGTCAATATTATTAACCACATTTCACAGATGAGAAAACTGAGGCTTAAAAGGTGAAGCCATTTGCTAGCATTCACACAACTTGTAAGTATTGGAAGCAGGACTTCCTAATTCTAAGTCTACACTTTACAACCACTATGCCATGCTTATGAGTTCAGTTTAAAAAAATGCTTCTCTGAGTAATTTATTCAATGTCCTTGTAAAGTATTTTGTTAGTGTATTAGAGTCCAAGTAAACATAAAACTCAAACAAAATGTTTTTTCTAATTTTGCATTATATTTTTAAAAAATATAACAGATTCCAGTCTACCAATGGTTGAACCATACATGGGGCTAATTTCCAATCCTAACCTCCAAAGTAAAACCATGTGCATCCTAAGCAGATAAAGAGAATGGGAAAAATATTATCCATACATTTAAACAGATTCACAAATGAACACCAAACAAAAATCTAGATATGCTTTATGTCCTCTTGTTAATCGATCAAATGCTCTTTTTTTTCTTAAAAAAGTATAGAGCTGTAGCCAATTTATATGCTGTTCTGAGTCAAATGATCTTTCTTTTTATAAATATTTTGACATTTTTCTTTATTATTTTTGTAACATCCTGATATCCCCTCTTGTGAATATGCTATAGCTTATTCTCCTATCCTCTGATGAAGGGATATAAAGATGCTTCCAGGTTTTTCCATTATGAATAAAGCAGCTATAAATATTTTTGTGCGTATGGTTAATTTACTTTTCTTGCTACTGTTAAGGTGGAGTCCTAGCAATGGAAACACACAAATAATTTATTTTTCAGTTCGTTGAATGTGATGTCTAATTTTGAGAGAAAGGAATGAAGGACAAACTGATGCTTTCACAGTAACACCTTCCACATTATTTTACACTATCAGTAAGGCGGCTTTAGTCTAGTCATTGATTGGATGATGAGAGAAATCATATGAGCTCTAGCTATATTGAGGGGCCTCTGTGCCACTTCTTTCAGTCCACTTGCCATTGGGTGAGATATCTCTTTTCTTTGTGATAAAGAGATGTGACTCGGTGGTTTCCATCAAGTCTCTTCTGTGTTGGGAAAGGTTGGGAGGTCAGGAAGAAATCATGAGAAGACTTAGGTTTGAATCTTGGCTCTTTCATTTCACTGCCTGTACTTACACCTTGGACAAATCCTTTTCTCTTGCTGTTCTACTTTCTTAACCTACAAAAAATGATATAATTAGGTTACATCTGGGCTTCTTAACTTTCTTGTGTGTCATGTGTCTCTAGGAATCTGATGAATCCTAATGACCCCTTCTCAGAAAAATATTTGTAAATGCAGGAAATAAAATATGTAGAGTTAAATTGAATACAATCGTCAAAATATACTTTTTAAAAAGTTCACAGACCCTAAGTTAAGAACCCCTGGGATAGATGGTATATCAGCTTGATTATAGCTCTAACTTTCTATTTTTCTGCGGTTCTTACACCTTCATTGACATCAGCAGTTCCTTATAGAGAGAAGAGATATTCATAATAAACTGAAATACTTAAAGGGGGGGCACAGCTAGGTGGCATAGTAGATAGAGCACCGGCCCTGGATTCAAGAGGACCTGAGTTCAAATCCGGCCTCAGACACATAACACTTACTAGCTGGGTGACCCTGGGCAAGTCACTTAACCCCATTGCCTAGGCTCCCCCCCCCAAAAAAAAGAAATACTGAAAGGTATTGAAGTACCTTCTGAAAAAATCAGGTATTAGATTATGTTTAACATAATTTCAGCATTGGAAATTTTATAAAGTTCTGCTCATAGTTAATGTCTGTTATCTACATAGGGTACCTCTCTGGTAAAATTAGAATATTATATAAACTAGACCCACTCAGTTTGGAAATTAGCTGTATTCTTAAAAAATTTTTTTGTCAGTTATAAAAAGTAGTAAAGTATGGGATTTCTTAATAAATAGATGAACTAAGTGATTTATATGAGGTTCTGGGGGGGATGCGTTATAAGGGAGCTACTGACTTTTTTTTTTTTTTATCATTTATACAGACTGTTGCCTTTTTTATCTCCTAGACCACGGGTGGGGAACCTGTGACCTCGGGGCCAAATGTGGCCCTCTAGGTCCTCAGGTGTGTTCCTTTGACTGCCTCCAAACTTGACAGAACAAATCCCCTTAATAAAAGGATTTGTTCTATAAAACTTGGACTCAGTCAGAAGGCTACACCTAAGGACCTAGAAGGCCACATGTGGCTTCATTGCCACAGGCTCTCCACCCCTGTTCTAGACATTGTAGGCAGCTCCATATTAATTATTGTCAAGGCTTGATTCCCTTCATAATGCTATTTTTTCTAGACTTATGTCGATTGTGTTTTATATTCACCACCTACGAGGGGAGAAATACACAATGAATGAGATATTTAAGACCAATGAATGATATTAACCTTTAGTATTTACCTTTTTCCATGGAGTTTGCTACTTTAAAAATGAGTGTTATTGGATTCAACTGAAGTAGCTTCGATAAATTAATGAGCATCCGTTGAAAGTTTCCAGGTGTTTTGGTGAGAGTTTTTAATACATGTTTATCAAGTAGGGCTTAGACAGTAGAAGCATTATTCATCATGGGAGGAACTGTTCATTACATGCATGATGCAGTAATGCTGATTTGTGAGTTTGTAAGTTTAT